CTACCTCAAAATGGTAAAAGAAAGGAAGATGTATGGTAATAATTGGAATTATCAGCAGCAAATCTTTTAGATTGAAGATTATGAATCGATAATATATAAATTTGAATAGGATATCAATCAAAAGGTTCAGGCTAAGGTTCAGGTTTAGGGTTTACTCCGAGGGTAGAGAGAATGCTCAAGAATCACTTTTGAAAACCATCCACTTCTCTCTTTAGCCACTTTTAGGCCTTTTCCCTGTCCAAATTCAACTTTCGAACGAATTATAATCCCATAAAGACTCCGTAATCTCTTCTTTCGGCCGTCGAGTGTTTCGAGTCCTTGGTCCAGAACTTAGTGTGTTGTACTGTCCTTTATTGCTGAGATTGCTGGAGCTGGGTGAATGTTGGTTTTTATTTCTTCCCTGCTTCTCTTTTTCGAAGGGAACCACTCCTTCTGGTCAATTTGGACTCACTTTACTTTTTCTGCATCAGAAAAGAAATTCATTGGAAAGAAAGAAATAACAGAACATGACAGCCTCCGTCCGTCTGTCCCCATTCTACCATTCTCTCATTCTCCCATTCCCACATTCACCCATTGGTGGGGTGTATGCCGAGCCTCGCAGAAAATTGAGCATGCAATTTGGCTTTTCTTTTCAATAATTTTCCATTAGACAAGAATACGAGCCACACAAAAAAATAAGTATAAAAGAAATAACTACCAGAGGAAGAGGGAAAATCCAATGCGTTGGCATAAAAAAGGGGCAACCATTGGCCAGGCTGTGTAAATGATGATAATAGGGAACGGGGCGGGGACTGGGGATGATTGCAAGGGGTGGATGACTTGCACACACAGATACACACACACACACACACACCTCTGGCTATATCCCCTGAATATACATATGTATATACGAGTATGTATAAATATAGCAGCGATGCGAACGACAACGACATCGACATCGACGTGGAAGTGGACGTGGACGTGAATGTGGCTGTGCCTGTGCCTGTGGCTATGGGCGACGTCGACGACGGCGACACTTCTGGTTCAGTGAAGCATAAGAAATTCTCGAATGAATCGCTCTGTTGACGCTTGAGTAGACTTGAAGCGATAAGCGGTTTTTGTCCTATATACAAAAATATATCTAGTCGCGCCTCCCTTTGTCAACCAACCCCAGCAGAGCCAAAGCCCCACCTGCCGTCGAAACGAACCACCCATTCGACCCATCGTTTAAAGAAAGCCAACAAATGTCAGAATCTTCAACCATATACAAATTGATCGGAAAGCTGATCCCACATGGGATCATCTCTTTTGACACTTTTGGAGGATCTCCAGTCGAGAATCCGTTGCATAAAATATATAAAAAGATTAAAGATATCTTCTCCGAAGCTATTTTTCTCTTACTTGCTTAAGAAAAGAGTGTTCCTGACGCCACACCACGTTCCACGTTGCGTATACGTGGTTCTGCGACAGGCATAGCTCATACGCCCCGTTGGCACATCCGTGTGCATTAACTCCTTGCCCCCGTTCGTCTCCCTTCCCCAGACACGGCACGGCTGTGGACTGGCTCTAATGGAATTAATCAAATGTCATGCTGATGTCGCAAAACTGCAAAAACTTCCTATGACTGTGGCTGTGACTGTGGCTGTGACTGTGTCTCCGACTGCGGCTATGTCTGCGCATGTATTTGTTTCTGTCTCTGTGTTTGCGTCTGTTCCTGTCGGTGATGTTGCTCCTGTGTTCATTGACACTGGTGTCAGATGTTTAAAGTTTCGGACAGCAGAGCCGCCGCATAACTAGTTAACAAGCAATTGCCGATGGCGCTTAGTTTTGGAGAGTGATGGGGTGGTGGCGGGGGAAATATCCCTGATATGGTGCTATCCTGGCCAGGCGGCAGCATCTGTTCAATCCCGCAGGCAGCATCGACACATAGACACAGGCACATATGGACGCTCAGGAATTGGTTTTTGGTGTCGTGATTCTTTCCGCCCTTGGGGCAACATGTGTCTGTGTCGTCTTCTGAAACCAATTTTCCTCTCTCCTCATCCCTACCACTCCGTGGATGCTGTCTCTATCTCTCTGGAGCATTCCCGGTATACCCGGCATTGGCACTACACTTGAATTATGGATTATGGGCAGGGGTCAAAGTTATTAGAGATGGGCACGTGATCGGATATCCTGGAGAAAACTGCAATTATAGCGTTAGCCAAAGCTCAGGCAGGAAGCAGCACTCCTTGACCTGACCTCCGTGTGGATTCCATCAGTCATCGTGCTCTGTTCTGTTCTGCCCATCGTCGTAAAGCGAAAACTTTCGGTTGAGACGCAATGCAGAAGCCGAGCAAGAGTTACAAAAATAAGTGTGAATAAAATGTGCCCAGGGGAAGGAAGGTTTTGAACCAGCTGCAGGGGGCATTATACATACTATCCAATCCAATCCAAAGCCCAGTCCACGGCCCCATCGGCAGCCCCAGCCATGTGTGGTGACCTTGGCACCCGGCTGGGCACGAGAGCAAAAATGTTGCTGACAAACTTTCGCTCCACTTTCCACCACTCTCGCTCTCGCGCCCTACACCACTGGCGACTGGTGACTGTCGCACGCGAGCGACTCTCGACCCTCGACCCGACTCGACGATGGCGTTGGAAATAATTACACTTGCTGATTTATTGAGTGTCGTGCGGTGCGGTGCGGCGCGGTGCGGTACAGGATGGAGTAGAGTAGAGAGTGGTGCGGCGTAGAGTGATGCGGCAGTGGCTGTGGCAGTAGAGGAAATGCCGTCCCAGTGTCCGGATGTTGTTAATGAGCCACGACATTGGATTGGATTGCTCGGATTGGATTGCAGCCGCAGCGGCCACGTCATATTATAAATGCTCCAAGGTTGAGCGGGGTCAAGTGATTAGGCGTGCCCCGCAAACCCTTGGTTCCCCCTACGTTCCCTTCATTCGTTGCTTTCCTGATTTTGTATGGAATAATTGTGCTCGAACGTTTTTTGGCTAAGATTGAACACGACATTCTTAAGCGATTGATCAGGTGTAGGATCCATGGACTGCTGTAGGCTGTGGTCTAGGCACCCAAGAGTGATGGAACAATGATAAGGATGTAATAGAGCAGACACTCCAGCAGACACTCCTTTCTCTGTCTCTCTCCAATGTATACAAGAAGAGAAGCCGACCAAATGCTGTGGTTGCCCACCAATCTAGTTATACTGCTAAGCCGCTTACTCGAAGGTAGTTAAGGGTATGTTGGAATGGAATACCATCTGAAATGTATCCAGAATATATGGCTCTTAGGTCGAAAGTTTCGAATGGAGCTCCCATTCGATTTATGCATATTTCTATTAGATCGCCTGCTATACCTATTGTCGGAATATCTACTACATGTCTTTCATTTTTGTTGCTGCCTGGTCTTGGGGGGTGTGGGCTCCTGGCACAGGAAATGACACTCACCAAGTTCCCAGCCATCTCTCCAACTAACCAACAACTACCGGCTCAACTCAACCGAAGTCTGAACTGAACTCTGACTGTGCTTTATGGATTGCGTGTGGCTGGCGCATATTCAAAGGCATCGCTCAGGCGAAAGTGAAATTAATTACTCGACTTGAGTCGAGTTGAGTTCCTAGGGGGTCCAAGGAGGGTTCGGTTAGGTATAGTTCGTCTCGGCCTCGACTCGACTCGGCTCGGCTCGGTTCGGTTCGGTTCAGTTGCCACTTGCTGCCGTAATTAATGAAAAAGCCAGGCATACGAACAAACGGAATGTGGATACGGACACTACCATCAGTGAAAGGGGAAAGGGGAGAGGTGAAGGGCAAGGGGAACATGCAGAATTGCGGCCTTTTTGATGGCCATTCTCCAACTTCCGCTGGCTGTCTTGGTCGTGTGCCAAAATTTGATTAGTGCAAACATGTTGGTCAATCTCTGCCTGACTGAGATCCCAGTCTGATGGTAGAAGATTCCTGATCCGGACTTGGGATTCGAGTAATGAGCGTAGCTAGCCGCTTCTCTGTGGTGGGGTTCCGATTACTTTTGAGCCATTGAAAGTTAGGTACATCTTGGGAATGAAAGAAACCCACTGGCCATACCCTGTCTCCCCGCTTGCCCCATCCTTCTGGTAGGTACTTTAGTCTCATTAGGCAACAACGAGCCATCTTTTAATTATGGCCGGCTTTAATCAGCGTCAATTGGCAAATACAAAAGCGGAAATTGCAAAATGTGTAAAGGCAAAGATAGAGCAGCGAAGCCGAGAGAGAGAGAGAGAAAGAGGGAGAGAGACAGATAGATGGGGAGAGACAGGGAGAGACAGGGGGTCAGGAAAATGAGAATCGAGGTGGGGTGGAGCGACTGGGGAGAGCAAGTGAGGCGAGAGACACAAAAACCTTTTGCTAATTTAATTAAATTACACCATTTTCGCTGTCGCTTTTTGTAGAATAATTGGCAATAAATTGATTAAAGAGTTAATTAAACATGCGGCAATGCCAGCCAACAGAATAGGGCGTGGCAAATGGGTGGGGAGGGGAAAATCAGACGGGTTAGCGCAGGGAGGGTTGGGGGCTGAGGCTGGCGTGCAAGAGCAGACGGGTAGATAATTGCATTGTCACAAAAGAACAGCCTACACGGCAGGAGGTCTTTGCCTGTGTGTCTTTGCCGCAACACAAATTTTGGCTCTGACAAAGAAATGGACCTACAGTACCTGCTATTTGGACACCAACACCACTTAAGCCTAACTGTTACAAAAAACTGTAACATTTTATGGCGGATAACCCTCACAGATAGCTCCCATTAACGATTAGTGGAGCGCTCATTATCGAGCGAATTATCGAATAATACTAGAATCTTAAACCATTTAGTTCTTTGAATGATTCAAATGTTTATTATATAGATCAATGACTACCATTATGTAATGGATTCCATTGCATCCAGCAATAATGTGTGAAGGAAATTGCTATAAACGCTACGAGTATACCCTTTCGAATCTCAACCCAAAGAAAACCATCTCTTATCTTTTATCTTCCTCTCTCTCTCCGTTGCAGTTAAAGTAAAAATGCCGCTGGCGTTGCAGTCGCAGCTCGTGGCTCTAGCCACGCCTCCGCCCCACTAAAGGTCTAGGCCCCTGACACAGTCAGAGGCGGAGGCGTCAGAAGGGGCGTGCGAGCGTCCGACGGCAACGGCAACGGCTACGGCTACGGCAAAATGGCCGCTAGCCCAGGAAATGCAACAGCAACATCGGGAGCAACAGGAGCAGCGGAAAGAGCAGCAACCACAACGGGAACAACAGCAACCACAACCACAACTACAGGCACAGGGAGAGCGTTGATGAACCACCTGCTGAACCGCTCGGCGGAGAGGAACCGCACCAATGAGGTCGATAAAGATGGAGGACTGGGGGAAGACGGCGTCGGGATTGGAGCCCCCCCGACGCCAACGGGTTACCTCCCGCTCTACGAGGACGAGACGCAGCCGGCGGCGGAGGATGATGGCTATGCCCTAATCGACGACATCAGCGACTGGCTCCTGAGCTCCGCCAGCGCAGAGAACGCCACGTCCACGTCAACGTCCACGGCAGCAGCGATGGCAACGAAAATGGGAATGGGAATGGGAACGGACACAGCCACCTCGACCACCAATGATACCCTGGGTTGGCTGAGCCTCGACCTAGGGGAAGCGTTGAACACCACGCAGCCCAGTCGGGTCAATTCCAGCATGGTGGACGAGGGGGAGGAGGAGGCGCCCGGCGACGGCCTCTACGCGCTGCGGAACTTCGTGGAGCAGCAGTTGGCCGGTGGCGAGGCCGGCACCGGTGCCGGGGAGGAAGCGGACATTGCACTGATCGACAGCGGGGAGGAGGCGGCCTTGGATAACGTAGCTGATGCGGAAACGGACTACGGTCTGTTAGGAGGCTTCGGCGATGTTGAGCTGCTTCAGCGGACGGCTACGATGGCCAAGGCGACGCTCAGAAACCGCACGACGGCGGTGTCGAGCGGAGGTGGTATGGTTGGAGGAGGAGGAGTAGACGGCCCGGCTGGTGGTGGTGGTGGAAGCTCATTTATGCTGCTTCTGGAGAACTTTAACGACTACTTTCCTAACTACAATGGCAGCACGGTTTCGGGAACAACAATAACATCAGCTGCCGCGGCAACAACACCAAGCAGCGGCAGTGGCGGCATCCTGATGGAACAGAACCTCACGGGACTGTTCCTGGACACTTATCGGATGAACTGCACCAACGAGACGCTGAACCTGACGTCCGAGTCTTGTGGCGAGCTGAGAATCGGTAAGTACTCCACTGGATTCATCCCTTATTTCTGCACTGACACTATCGTAAGGCACTCCAACGGAAGAAATGTTGTGCGGCACTGTTTAACAGCACTTGTGGGATATGCAACACTGGTTCACTTCATGATCAGGAGATTCCTTTAGGAATGTTATTCGAAATGTGGTCCAGTACTTGATCATAATATTCATGGGTTAAAAACTGCACAACGGTTTTTTACTCAACAAGAAAAATTTAAAACTCCTTTTACATTGTTACTGCTCTTCCCAACACCGTCTTCATTATTTGTATAGATTTAGGCCTGACCAACACTAACAGCTCAAAACAATTGCGGCCATTTCCCAACACTGTCCACAGGTTAAGCTGCAACTAATTTGTGCACTCCTGTACCATTTTGTCTTTGCAGTGGACCACAACTACTGGGCGCTCATCTTGATACTGTTCCCCATCCTTACCCTCTTCGGCAACATCCTGGTCATCCTGTCCGTATGCCGCGAGCGATCGCTGCAGACAGTTACGAATTACTTTATAGTTTCTTTAGCCATAGCCGATCTCCTGGTCGCCGTGGTCGTGATGCCATTTGCTGTTTACTTTCTGGTAAGTAAAACCAAAAAATTCAATTTATACGATACACTTTTATGTCTCTCTTTAAATACATACATACCATACGAGTATGTGTATGTGTATGTGTGAGTATCTGATGGCTGCATGGAAGGCGCCGGGTCGGGTCGAGTAAAGTCTGGCGGAGGGTGGCAAAATCAAAATGCAAAATTGCCAGCCATTTGCGTTTAATTTTATCAAGTGTTGGGTCATATAATAAATAAACACTCTCATAAATAACCGAGCACGATGGAGCCAGAGGCCAGACATGGAGATGTGAAAATACCAAGGACTATGGACCATAGACCATGGATCAGGGGCAAGGGAGCAGGCAACAGGCAACAGGGCACATGGTGGAGGCCAAGAGGGGCGTGGCTTTTTAGTAAATTGCGGCCATTCAAGCAATAACATTCAATTTTTGGCGCTCCCTGCATATAAATCAATGTGCGTTCCACAGAGTCCAAGAGAAGAGTGCTAGGATATGGTTAATGGGAAGGGAATTCGTCCCGAGACAAGCTCTCGTCTTGGCCCGCTTCCATTTGACTTAAGCCGACGTAGCTGTCATTCCCTATGATTGATTGTTAGATTGACGGACTCACTGACTGACAGACTGTCTGACTCTATGACTGTCTGCCACCCGCCGGCTCTGACTATTCCATCGAGAGTTGAATCCTGACTGGCTCACTGACTGACAGATTGATGGAATGGCCTTAGTCCACTGCCATTCCCAGTCTCATCCCTATCCTTAGCTCATCAGCATTCGGATTGCTGCGGTCCTGGATTAGAATATTGGCTTAGCTATGCAAATGGAGCAACATCAACATCAACAGGAACAGGATAAGCTATATCATAGGATGTCCTCTACACATGAATGGCGACCTGGCTGCTGGCTAATTGGTTGGAAGCTACTGCTGCCCTGTCCGGGGCTGCCACAATTAATTGTGTGTTTATTTGAGAGCTGGTAAATTATAAAAATTTGCAATTGCAGCTGGAGCAAGACGCAGCAACAGCCACAGCATCAGCATCAGTAGAACATACGTATTCGTAATTAAAACGCTCGAAAGTCAAATGAAATTAAAAAACAGCCACACACAGACATTTCACGGTGGCTGAGAGCAGAGGGGCAGGGGGCGCAGTGTGTCAGAGTGTCATTTGACAATAACAAATGTGGCAACTTGTCAGAGAAATGAAAACAAGAAACTCGTTCAAGCATAATTGAATGTTCGACTTAATTATTTATTTGTGCTGGCACTCCCCTTTTCTTCAAGCGCATACAGAAGATTGACTCGGGTTTAAAATTGCTAAAAATTCAGAAAATATCGAGACTCGCCCGGGACTCGTTGTCGGGTTCAAAATTTGTGCAAAAAATAACGTCTGGACTTCGTGCTTGCAGAGAATAGAATTTCATCGAAGCATTTATTCTGCCTGGTATAAAAACATTCTCAAGGATAATAGCTAAATCTTTTGATGGCTTCCGATGGACCTTTCACCTGCCTCAAGATCTGGATGAGCAACTGCCTGTTGCGGGGCTTGTTGTTGACCTTATAATGGCATGCAACCACATAGACACGGGTATTCAACTGGCGTGCACACACAGATACGCCCCACACAAATATGGTAACCGAGGCAGAGCAAATTAACTTGTCATTAAAAGCATCAAATGCGCCCTGCTCTACGCCCTCTCCTCGCCCAGCCAACAGGCCACCGTCTCGCATCTCGTATACCTGTGAAAGTGTCAGGTGTTAATTACACTCTTACCCACACCCCGGAAAGCCACCCACCCCCAAACATAGTCACACACACGCACACACACACACATGCACATGTAATGCGACGCTTGTCAGATGCAGTAGGGTGTAGGAATAGTATGTGCATGGGCTAAGGCTTTATGCTGCAACTGGAGATCTCTGGGCCTTTCTTTCTATGATTTAGCTAATTTGTCTTTTTCGGTCGTTCATTCCCTCCATATTCCATATTACATATCAATTTCTTTACTTTCTCACCCTTCAAGGGCAAAAGAGTGTAGTTTTCAATGGAGAAGCGGTAGTAGTAGCAGACAGAGAAAGAATCCCCAAGCACAAGTACAATTTATTTAACTCGGCCAAGTCTGTTGGCATTTTCACATACACTTGGGCACACACAGGCACACAGAAATTCACAGATACGGACACAGATACATATACAAATACAGATATAGATACAGGCACAGGAACTGGCAAACACACAAATGAAAATTGATTTAGTTAAGAGGATTTGCGTCAACAACAGCACAATACGAGTAAGTGTGCAGTAACACGGTCGTGTCGTCGGTCCAGTCCCAGTCGTGGCTGCCAGATGGAGACCGCTTGGGGACGCTTGGAGACTGGGTGACTGGAAGACTCTAGAAAATGAGAAATGCTAGAGGTTGGTCGGCGAAGGGGGGGTTGGATGCGAATGGGTGGCTGCTCGACATTGGTAACCGAAGGTGAGGAAGATTGGCAGGACTCTCTCTTCCGCCCTTACTGCCCTACTGTGTGCGTTGGCATTTGTGCTGGATAGCACTTAACTCATAAAAATGTGCGCAGCTCCGGCCCCGAGCCCCACCTTTGGGAGGAAAGCAACAAGAGAGCCGGAAAGAGATGCCAACAATGGAGAATTATTGCTTATGACACAGACGAACAGACAGGCAAGTCAGCAATGGGCAATGGGCGTGGCAGGCCACATACGAGTATACGCGAATACATGTTACTCATACGCAACGTGGTACGTCATGTTGGTGGAGAGGAGAAGCGAGGCGAGGTTTTGGATGTTGTTTGGTTACACGCGGCTCGCTTTAACTCGCGGCTAAAACAAATACACAAGCATTTCGGCCCTCGTTTCTCTTCCCATGCTTTCTTCCACCACTCTGCCACTCTCTTTGGCTATCCCTTCCCTTCTCTCTCTCTGTCTCTTTGGGCGTACGTGAGTGTGTGCGTGTGTGTATGAGGGCAGTGCTTTTCTATTTTAAGTGGTTGTATATGTCAGTGGAACGCTTTTGTTGACATTCAAGTGGTCATTGAAAGTGTAAAAGCGTGCACACACACTGTCCTGCCTGGCATGGGGGGCTGTAGGTGGCGACCAGTTGGGCCAGGACGCGACACACAGGAGCCAAGTCAAAGTAGCCTCGCCCAAAGTTCACCATCATCATGTTCACTGGCTCTAATCTCATCAGGAGTGTGTCTGTGTTTGTGCTCCTGCAAAGGAGGGACTGAGTCCATGTCCATGTCCATGTCGATGTCCATGTCCCCCATCCGCTGTCCGCTATAGATGTGTGAGTGTTGTGCCTGGAAGTGTGTGTGACTGCCTTACACATGTTGGCCGCCATTAATTGCTTTTGTATGCATTCTGGCGCTGACTTCTGCAGCAGCAGTGGGGCTGGATTAGTGTGACCAGAGTGCTTGTGTGCGTCTGTGGGCCCAGGGGATTTCATTGATTATGCCGGAAAGTGGTCAGTGGCAAAGGCTATCAACGTGGAGGAGTGGGAGTTTTGTTTGCAGGAAGCCCGATAGAAGTTATCGGCTGCTGGAGCGGATCGAGTACTGAGCAATGGCCCCGGTTCACGGTGCGCAATCCAAAAATAGTTTTAATTCGCGATTTGCAGATGGAATTGTGGGTCTCGGCTATCATTGGAGTCGCCTCTAAGACTGGAATAATAATTGAGTCATTAAATATTTATTGAGTGATTTGCATACACGAAGTGATCCTTGAGCGAAAGAGAGAGATGGCAAACCGTGGGGCTTGCTAAGAGATGGATTTACTTGGGTTAAGGTCAGCAGGGGTGACCTGCTGCTATACTCTTCTCTCCTTCCCTTGCTCAATCACTTACCCTCTTGAGAGCATCGTAAAGAGCCATCAGAATTTGTCATAAATTCATGGAAAAAAATAAATAATCTGATTAATATATACACACACACACACACACACAAAAACTTGAACACACACTCAAACACACACTTCCAAAATTGTGGAAAACACTCACAAGCACACTCACACAGTGATTCACATACCCACATCAAGCACTGCCCAAAGGAATGAAAATGCGAAACTGTCAATGGCCGCCCGAGCCTCCAGCCTCCAGCCTCCAACCAACCCCCCCATCCCCCACAGCCCCCGTTTTTGGGATAGGAGAAAATTCGCAAAGGAAATGGGGCAGCGATAACGGTACTTAATCAGCATTTGAAGCAGCCACCGTCGCACAGTGGGTGAAAAAAAATAAAAAAAAAAAAACCAAAGAAAAACAGAATGAAACCGAAATGGAAATAATCATATTTTGTGGCCTAAAAATAGAGTTGCTCCGATGAAATGGTCTGCCAGTGACAGGCCAAGTGTCGACAACCTCTCTGAGTGCACCATACCCCGTCCTGGTCCCAATCCGCCTCTCCTTCTCCCTCTTTCCATCCACTGATTTTAGCCAGAGCAGAGCAGGAGAGAATTGTTTGTGGCATTTTTATTATGCATGATTTTTATGATTGTCTGGAATGGGATACGGATTTGGCTTTCGATTTGGTATTAGGATATATGCACCGCTACTCGTATTACCCGTATTTTCGTATTTTGGCCATACGCAGCAGGTCATAAGAGAGATAGTAGGTCGAGAGGGCTGAGCTCAAGAAGGTGTCGGAAAACTTCTCTGAGCCAGTGCAGCTCATCCCCAATACCTTTTGAATGATTCTCAAATATCCCATCCCATCCCATCTGGTCTTTCAGGTGGTGTTTGGTGGCGAGGAGGAGCAGGGGTGAAAGCATTTATCACTCCAGCTGCAACATTGAAAAATAAAACTACAAAACAAGTGGAAAGTTTCACAAGAGCAGTTTCACCTTCAGGTCGGAGTCGGGGCTTAGGCGGCTGCCAAACTACACAAAAACTGTTTCCATGTGGCAGGCAATAAAAAGAGTTTTCCACCAACTTGTTCAGCAGCCCCAGGGCTGATGAGGATGAGACCTGCTCAAGTTGAGGATGGGGATGGGGATGGGGATGA